TTAATTTTCATTGACAGATAATAATTAATATGACATAATATGCTTATCAATCTTAAGGAAGTACTTGGTAGTATTTACAGCTACTTTACCAGCAGAAATCTGCGTAATTCCCCTGGACGTGGGCTCTGTCACTCAGTATCATCTCCACCTTTTGTCCTCTCCTGGTAATCCAATCTCTTTTTTCGTATTGCAGTGAGAGACCAAAGTGCTTTGTTGTTATCTGTTCTTAAAGCTGCTTATTGGTTATTATTATTTTGCTCATCAAAACATTGCCTAGGCATGAAAGCAGGGGCCTTGGTCTAGAAGACAAAGGTGTGTATATATGTGTAATTTTTACAAAGCAAGTATTCTTTCAGCCCATTATGTGGGTCATGTGGTGGGTTTCCTCTCCCTATGAAACTTCCCATGGAGATGAAACGCTTGCTTTTACTGTGAGGGAGCCTGGGGACAGTGAGTCAGCCTGGCTCCTTATTAGCTTGTTCAAGGATCTGTGCTTCCCAGGTCCCATTTACCTCCTGAAAAACCACAGCAGTGGCTGATGTGAAGTTTAATGGAGCAGCCAAGAAGTAGTTGTTTTAAGTGCAAACTACTGGACTTTGTATGGGACTAAGTGGCTGAATTGTTTGGCTACTGTGATGAAGATGGCAAATTCAAACATTAGCGGTTGGATGTACTTAGGACAAAAAGTACTTCAGTGGAACATGGAATGTATCCCTTCTTCTGGCCTTTTGGTAAACTCAACCAACTTGAAAAATTCCCTTTTTTAAAAAAAAAAAAAAAAAAAAAAAAAAAAGGCAAGGCAGTTCATACAGTCTAGTGTTCTGGAATAGTTACTTAAACCCAACACCTTATGACTCAGGACTGAATTCAATCTCCAAATGTAATGCAAGAACTCTTTATAAAACACTTTATTTCTGCCTAAGATTCTTCCAGCGGGAATGTTTTAAAATACTACCAGTGTTACGTTTATTCTCTACTTCTGATTTGTCCTGAGTCTGTATTAGCTGAACAGCCACAGTGCTGATGGACTCAATTCATGCACACACACGAAGCCAATACCTTGGAGTGCAAGCTTTCATTCTGCTTTTTAGTGTGTGTCTGAGATAGGAACAGGAGAAATAGTGTCTTATTTCTTCTTTATTGTTTTCACTTGCTTAGTCTTCAGGTCCATCAGTGACCAGAGTGGGGAGTCTGACACCAAATTCCTTCATTTCACTTGTGTGAAACCCTGCACACAAATGGGAGATGTTTTCCTTCCATGATAATGGTGCAAATGTTTCTCTGCCTTTGTAGCTTCATCTCTTAGCTGCTCCTTGGTAGATGGATGCTGCGCATAAGCGTGACAAGAGTGGGGGGATAGGAGTATGTTTGATTTTTATAGAGAAGGCACTGAGGTCCTGTAGGCACAGGCTTGTTTCGTAAGAAACAGTCCAGAAAATCAACTTGCAGGTGTCCAAATGCTTCTCTGGCCTCTCTCTGTCACAGAAGGGATGTAGGTTCACCTTTTTCTGTCCCTGCATCTCCCTGTCACTGGAGGTGCAGTCTAGGGTTACAGCTGCAGTGGGCCTGCTCCCTACTTCTGGAGCATTGGTGCTCTTGCTTTGTCAGTCTGAATGCTGAGGATATGCTTCACTATAAACAAAACCTGGTTTGGGGCAAGTTATATTATTATGTGTATTAGTCTATAGGGCTGGGTGACGTTCATCCCAGCGTTCTGAAGGGATTGGCTGATGTGGTTGTCAAACTGCTCTCCACCATTTTTTTTTTTTTTTTTTTTTTTTTTTTTTTTCAAAGTCATGGCTGTTAGGTGAAGTCCTTGGTGACTGGGAAAAGGGAAACATCACTTTGATTTTTAAGAAAGGGACAAAGAAGGACCTGGGAAACCACAGGCTAGTGAGCCTCACCCCAGTGCCCACACTCCTATCTTTAAACTGGGGCTATTTGGTGGGTGAGGAAGTGGTTGGAAGGTCACAACCAGAGAGTTGTGGTCATCAGTCTTATGTCCAGGCAGAGGCCAGTGTGAGTGATGTCCTCCAGAGGACCATCTTGGAACGGGTGCTTTTCAACATCTTTATCATTGACATAGGCAGTGGGATCAAGTGTGCCCTTGACAAGTTTGCTGATGACAACAAGCTGAGTGGTGCAGTTGGCATGGCAGAAGGAGGGGATGCTAAACAGAGGGACCCTGATTAACTTAAAATGTGGGCCCACGTGAACCTAATGAGTCTCAACAAAGCATAGTGCAAGGTTTTGCTTGGGTTGGGGTAATCCCAAGAAGAAAGCATTGAGAGCATTCCTGTAGGGAAGGGCTTAGGGGTAACTGGTAGATGAAAAACTTAACGTGAGCCAGCAGTGTGTTCTTGCAGTCTAGAAGGCCAGCGGTATCCTGGGCTGCATCGAAAGTGGTGGGGGGAGGGAGGGGATTGTCCCTCTCTGCTCTTGAGGTTCCATCTGGATCCAGGTCTGGAGTCCCCAACACAGGAACGAGGTCAAAATGTTGGAGAGGGTCCAGAGGAGCGCTGTGAAGAAGATCAGAGGGCTGGAGTACCTCTCATATGAAGACAGGCTGAGGGAGCTGGACTTGTTCAGTCTGGAGAAGAGAAGGCTCTGAGCAGACCTCATTGCAGGAGGGAGACTGGCATTTTGCACAGTCTGATAGGACAAGGGGAGGAGAATGGCTCTAAACTAAAATGGGGGATTTTGGTTAGATATTAGGAGGAAAATTATTCATCCAGAGGATGGTGAAGCACTGACAGTGCTGCCCATAGAAGCTGTGGTGCCCCATCCCTGGAGGCATTCCAGGCCAGTTTGGATGGGACCGTGGGCAGCCTGAGCTGGTGGGGGGGCAGCCCTACCCATGGCTGGGGATTGGGAATGGGTGGGCTATAGGGTTTCTTCCAATCCAAACCGTTCTGTAATTTCATGATTCTATACCAGTAGAAATGTTTTCCATTGGTATGTGTGACTAAGCTGGGAGAATTGTACCAGAAGCTATGACAGCTAAAGTTCTTAATTTTTTCATTATCTTTATTTTTAAACTTAGTAGGTCCTGTAACATGCTCCCAGCGGGGCAGTGCTGTGCAGAGCTGGTGCAGTACAGGCTGAATGCTGGCCATGGCAGCCAGTGGTGCTGCAGGGATCATGCTGGAGAGCTGTGAATGGATTGGGTCAGAGTGTCAGTCTGACTTGAGGCCAAGATGAGAGTGGGAGTTGTGGGCTGGGGCCATAGAGCGTGATACAACCGTACCAGCAGGGGCTTGCATGAGGCTTTGCCTTGAAAACATTTATGCTGTAGCAGACATATGAGGTACTGCGTGGATGCTTTCCAAAGCGTGGGATAGGAAGACGTGGAGAGGCTATATCATCATTTTCCTGACTGTTGCAGGTGCAAAGAATTTGGTAACAATATTTACTCTGGAGCCAAATTGCTCTCAGACTCCCTCCTATGTTTATTCAGTTGAAGAGAATTACCCAGCATTTCTGCTTCTCAACAATCGCAGGGTAAGAATTCCCAGACAGAGTATTTTTCTTTCTTTTATTCCCTTCTGAAACATGTGTCTAGACAAGTGATAGGCAAACCTTAAACTCTTTGGTTGCGTATTTGAAGGGTACCTGACTGTTTCCTCTCTGCATCTATTGTCCTGAGTGTATTCAGCCTGCCTTGATTCCTGGTAATTGGGCTGAGGGCCTCTGGAGAGCAACTTTTCTTGTAAGCTTTTCAACTGCTCCTGGTTTGAAGGAGTTCAGGGATCTCCAACCCACAGGGCTTCTGCACATGCTTTGCTTTTTGGATTTCTGATTCCATCTCAAACCAAGAAGTACAAGGAAGCATCATACTGTTTTATTACTGTTTTATTGTGGTTGTGTTTTTTTTTTTTTTTTTTTTTTTTAATAATTACAATAATAATAACCTAAGAAGACTCATCTCCAAACCTTAACCTTAAATGCTATTTCACGGAATGACAGAATTGTAGGGGTTGGAAGGGACCTCCAGAGATCATTGAGTCCAATCCCCCTGCCAAAGCAGGTTCCCTACAGCAGGTCGCACAGGTAGGCATCCAGGCAGGTCTTGAACATCTCCAGAGAAGGAGACTCCACCAGCTCCCTGGGCAGCCTGTTCCAGTGCTCTGTCACCTCACTGTAAAGAAGTTCCTTCGCACATTTGTGCAGAACTTCCTATGCTGCAGTTTCCAGCCGTTTCCCCTTGTCCTGTCTCCACACACTGCACAAAAGAGTCCGGCCTCGCCATTCTGCCCCCCACACCTCAGATATTTATAGACCTGGATCAGGTCCCCTCTCAGTCTTCTTTTCTCAAGGCTGAACAGACCCAGCTCACTCAGCCTTTCCTCATAGGAGAGATGCTCCAGGCCCTTCACCATCTTTGTGGCCCTCCGCTGGACTCTTTCCAAGAGATCCCTGTCTTTTTTGTACTGGGGAGCCCAGAACTGGACGCAGTACTCCAAATGAGGCCTCACCAGGGCAGAGTAGAGGGGGAGGATCACCTCCTTTGACCTGCTGGCCACGCTCTTTTTAATGCATCCCAGGATGCCATTGGCCCTCTTGGCCACCAGCTGCCAAGTTTGTTTATTTATTTATTCAAGTTGAAAATGTGAAGAAGTGACTTGATTTGAAAACAGTTCAAGGAAAGGAAAATTGTTTGAATCAGTCTCTTAAGCTCTTAAAGAACAGGAATTTAATGGCAGTAGCACACTGCCTGTGGTGTGTAGCACTGCTGATACAGTCCTGGGAAGGAGTCTCAAAGGATATTGTGCCATTATGGACTGTGGTCCTGGCTTATTGGGCTGTTTGCTGATCTGAAGGAATGCAGTTAGTCTAATCCATTTGATTTCAGGAGCATTTCATGTGGATGCAGAAGTCTATTACAGTGTTAATGGCAGCCCTTTCAGTACCCGGATCACTAAATATTTTCCTGTTCTAAAATAATGACAGATGTGGAGCTGTTTACCGGAAACAATGAAGGCAATGAAGAGCCTCTTGAATTATTTGTTAATCCATTTTATTATCTATTTGACCAAGCAGAAATGTTCTACTCTTGAGGCAGTGAAATATCCAGAGTTAATGACAGTCTGTTCCATGCGTACTACACCCTCACTTTTAAAGCAGTTTTTGGGTTTGGCTGGGATGTTCTGTACGTCACTGCAAGAAAGTGCTCCACCTCACTGGGCCTTTTCTAGCAAGGTTTAGGCAGCCTCTAGTGCTCTTCTTCTGAGATAAGAGGGTGGTAGCAGCAATCTGGTTCAAAATCCCCGGCTTTGGTGTTGCTCCAGCCTCCCAGTCATCCCACTGGCTTGCAGCTGGCACGCAGGAAAGTCTTAAGTTGGACGCTGCGGCTCCTCTCTATTTGAAAGTGGAGGTTCACTGCTTTAAATTAGGGAAGAATAGTGAAGAACAGTGGTTCCTGCTATCCAGAAGTTCATTTTGTTCTCTTTTTTCAGTTAACACTCTATTAAAAAAAATCACTGCAAAACTTGACTCTTCTTTCTGGAGTCAGTAACCAGGCAGTGTAATTCAAAGAAGAGAGCTGGGTTGGGTGAGGAAGAAAACTGCAAACTTCCAGCCCTGCTGCAACCAATTCCTTACTGCTAAAAGCCGAGTGAGGGGAAGGACAATTATTCAGCTCCATGGTAACAGTGGAAGATTATAATTTCCATTCCATTCAAATTTTAAAATGAAAAATATTTATTTGGTTTGATAAATTCCTCAAGTCCTCTCCATCTCTGTTTCTATTTTAATGCAAAAATAGAAACACTCTAGTTCCTATCTTGTTTCTATGTTGGCAGGAGCAGCTGTCTTGGTTGGTAGTGTTATAATACAGTTGACTGTGGTGTAGCTCTGTTTGTCTTTAGTTTACTACTTGTTTCTTTCTCCCTAAGTGCACTGAATACTGAGAACTGGTTCTGCAGCTGGTGTCAGCTGGCAAAGTCTGGCTCTTCTGGAGAAGGGGGCCCAGACCCATAGCTCATGCAGATCACCGCAGAGCTGGGTATTGTTACTAAGAAAACATTTGGTAATGAGCTATGCACTTAAAGCAGCTTGGGGAGGAAGAAGACTTGGATGTACTCTAATCACAGGGTGACTCTGAGCCACAGCTATGCTATAGCCATGAAAAGGGAAATGCAGTCAGGGGACAAATCGGACAGGGACAGTGCACCAGGCATAGATGAGAGTTCAGCTTCAATGTTGTGCACTTTTTTGCTCACTAAGAAACAAAATAAATGAGCTGATGTAGGAGCAATAGCAGAAACAGGTGGACAAGGACAGCAGGGCTTGCCAACAGAGGGGACATTGGGAGGGGTTAGCTGAGTAAGGCAGTGACCAGAATTTCTGCCTATGAATATGTCATAGCTGAAAATTAAGGAAGAAGAGTTGAGAAGAGCTCTCTAGGCAAAGGGATGCGCTGGTACAAAAATGGTAATACAAACTGCTGTGGATGGACATATTCTGGAATAAGAAAAAGATTTGCTAAGTATTGGTGATTATAAGCACAGTCAATTTCCTTACTTAAGGTGGAGCTTGCTAGAGGAGCTCATAGGGCAGTGTGAGGGAAATAGGTCAGAAGATGTAGCAGTGTTTGGTGCTGAAACCTGTGACTTGTGCCAAGAAGCTGCAATGTTGTATTGTGACTCTTCAGAGTAATATGCCAAATTCTCATTATCTCTTTCATTTGAAGCCTCTGTTTGGGCCATCAGAGAAGCAGTGTTGCCATCAGCAAGCCAGCTAGGCTGACAGGTGAGTAGGTCTGATCATCAAGCAAAACTAATGATTGGTCATGTCTGCAGCAGTTTTGTGTGGTCTTCATAGAATGACAGCTGTGTTTTAATGTAGGGAGAAAGTAAACTAATAGTGGTGGTGTTGTTTTAGAAGAATAAGACCATACGAAACTTCTAGGTGTTTACGAAACCTGAGGATGCCTTACTGCTATGAATCTTTACTCACACAAGCAGCAATGGTCGAAGAGGAATCATACCCATGGAGTCTCAGCAGACAGCCATAGGTTGGGAGAAGGATGTTGGAAATTTTTTTTGTCAGGGAAAAAAGAAATCAGAGATTGTATATATTAAAAAAAAAAAAAAAAAAAAAAAAGTTTGTTTCTGCCTAAGAAATGAATGCTTGGATCACAGTAATCAAGGTAAACACAAAGAAATAGAATTATTTTGAATAAATCAGAGGGGATAAGTTGCTATGTATGTTTGTGTACATTCTATTCTAATGTCCAGGTTAGTACAGGATGGCTCAGAAAGGGTATTCCTTAGAGAGGTGAAGGCTTGAAGGACATCTAAGTGCCTGGTGCTGTAAAGTTCTTTCTCATGTGTAAACATGTGCTCCTGCTGGGCCCAATTTCACACTGACTGTGTTTGATGGAACAAGTGAATGGGGACTAACAGTGGACTGAAAGAGGAGGGAGGGAAAGACAGAAATGTGCCCTGTGTAGCTACAGGGAGGTAGCCATGCAACTGCTAGGCCTCAAAGCTGTCCCTCTTGATTAGCAGATGGGTCACCCAGGCACTGCTTTAGCAAGGAGCAGGCAGATGTCCCATGCAAGGATAAGCAGCTGGCTGGCAGCACTGACCCCTGAGTAGCCATCTTTGGAGTATGCTGGTCAGCAGGGAGAAACTGGGTGGTGTCAAGAATGAAGAACTTCAGTCAGTAATCCTTAGCAAGGAGTGAGCATTTAAACAAAAGAGCCATTGTGGAACCTACAGACAAATGCTGGTTGTAAAATGGACAGCACCTTACTCAAGAACGCAATGGCTGCTTCCAGACTTCTGACTTTCCACCAAGTTTTAGAGGCTAAGTGCTAAAGAAGATAAAGAAGGTAGATGTCGATCAGTGGGAGGATTTCATCTGTCCCAGGAGTTTCCATAGGATGTAGTCCTTAGCCCATCTTCAGTACACCATGCTTGGCTTCCTTCCCTTCTCAGATCATTGTCCTGAACTGATAAAGGGAATACATAGCAGCAGATAAAAAATGTACTGGCCTCTCTGAGAGTCCTTTGCACATCCACTACTTCTCATCCCAGTAGCACATATGATCAACCTTTCTGTGCAACTGTACACAAAAATAATGTCTCTCTACACAGCAGTACGTTGGTGTTACACAAAGTGTTCCAGCAGTTTCTACTGCAGTGTAAGAATGCTGCTATAGTTGACAGAAGCCACCTCTTCCCCCCATGCTTTCCCTAAAATTAGTTATGTCTTTGCTTTCTGGCATGACAGCAGTATCAGTGTGCTCCCCCCCCCCACCATGCTTTGCTGTGTTATAGGTAATGGCACTGCTCAGAACGAAACACTGCAGCTGTGAACTTTGCTTCATGTTAAACATGACTCACTTCTGGTTGCTACACAGGAAAACGTTACCTGAGCAATCTGCAATCACATAATCACCATCCATATTATTTGTATGGACATAAAATAGCAGAGCAAAAAAGAAAAACAACCAAGAAATCTGTGGTGTAACTTCAAATGCGTGTATAAGGATTTCCATGCTTTCCACTATTCTGTGTAGGTGTTTCATGATTCCCATTAATTATTTAACCGTATGTTTCTGTCTTTTTTTTTTATTTAAATAAATGTTTCAACAAATTTCTTTGTGGCATGCTAGCTTGGCTAAAATAATGCATGGTGTGATCCTGCTCCCATTTAATTTAATGCCACCATTCCTACTGATTCAGGATTAGGCTTCTGGTAAAGCAGCCCTTGCTACATGCAGAAAGAGCCATCCCTGTAAATACAGTCTATCTAGGCTGTAGACATATTGAACTTAATTATAAAGAAATAATATTTTTCCATGACCTGAATAGATGCAGCTAGGTAAGAAAAACTCTAAAATACAGGAGAGGGAATAAAAAAAAAATAAAAAATTTGCAGTTGCAATGAAGGTCAGTATAGCACAATCATGGAGTTTCAAAATATATTCATGCTACAGTTCTTCTTTGGAAAGTTTTGGACCAAACATGTTGCTCTGAAGGTCACCATCTGCTTGCAGTTGTGTTCTCTGTAAGAAAGTGCCAGACTCCCATAGCTGTGATACAATTATCCAGGACTTCCAGGAGCAAAATAGTGTGCAGAATAGCCCTTGGACGAGTGACAGCCAGCAGCATGGTACCTCCATGTGACAGGTCTGGCTGCACAGCTGCACCAGGGGAGGGCTGTGTCACAGGGCAGATGCACAGCTCACAAGGATGAGGCACAAGTTTGGCCCTTCCTGCTAAGCCACTCACCTGACTGACAGGGGAGTGAGAATGATCCAAGACAACAGAAAAGCAGCAGTATTTTGTGAAACGAGGAAGTGGCTTGCTAACGTTAACTGGTTTCACACTGCTGTGAGAGTTGATTCTCCAGGAGAAATGCATCTATAGTGGGGTTGGGTAAAGAGAAAAATCTGTCTTCATCTGTTCAAGCAGAGCAGGCTGAGTTCAGCTTCTCACAGATACAAACATGCCAGCTATTTTAGGTAAGTATGACCACCTCTGTAAGGAAAAAGGGAAACAAGTTCAGATACAGGAAGGACTTAATTCCCTACATTTCATTTACATTTCAGTAGTAGAAGTCTTTCATTCCTACATCGAAAATCTCCCACTAAGCACTGCATTCAACTTGTACTCAGTTCATACTGAGCAATAGACAACCTGCATTAGCTTCACTTTTGTTTGTAAATTAATTTGTTGGACTAAGTCTATGGTGTTATTTTTTAATCAGTGATACAGAGGGCGTTATTTCTTTGTGGTAAAAAAAAAAAAGAAGTCTTGCCTATGATACATGTGCATGACATGCAGGGATAAATTCTCCAGAATACGGAACTTTGCCCTAAGCTGCTCAGCTCATTGGCTGTATCCAGGGAGAGCCCACTTCAGCCAGTGATGAAAACTATCTGCATCAAGACACCATGATAAGGCATGAGAAAAGAAAGTCCTTGAAAGATGTCCTTTTGGACAGTGGGTATAAAACTATGTTCATTACTGTGGAAAGCTGTTGCTGGGTCCCCCTCAGTGCTTTGCACTAAGACATCAGCCTCATGTCTGTCTCCAAAAGAAGGGTTTTTGTGATTACTTAGAATTGAGATAGTTGAAATACCAATTTGTTAGTGTTCAGACATATCCATAAATAGGCCAGTATGAAGGATGAATAGTGAGATGAGAAATTTTGCAGATGATGCAAATTATTTAGCATTGTAAAACTAAATCTGGCCACAAAGCACTGCTGTAAGAGTTCATGATACAGAGTGACAGGGCAATAAAATGAGTGATGCAGTGCATTGTCAACAAAAGTGGAGCACGTGCAGAAACTCTAACTACACTTCAACATCAATGAGCCCTAAATATTGCATCTAGTAAAGAAATTCTAGAGTCTTCTATGAACACTAGTTAAAGCCCATCAGAAGAGACAACTAAAATGTTAAAAATTACCTGGAAATGCAGCAGGAGCAAAATAAGAATCCACCATGACAGGAATCATTATGAAACTGTGTCATGATAATAGCAAGTTTCTTGGCCTCCAGAAGAGTTGAGCTGAAAAGCACTCAGGATGAGGAGAGGTGGGAAACAGCTTCCATAAATACGAGAAATGAAGGAGATGAGTTTGCAGGGTGGAAAGGGATGATAAAAGCAGGAGATACATTCACCATCTGTTTGATCATGAATGACACATAGGAAAAGACAAACAGAAATTGTTTTCTGTGGCTTCTCCTAAGAACTAGAGGGGACCCAACAAAACATTCACATAAGAAGATTTAAACCAACACAAGGAAGTATTTTTTCCATGCAAAACATAACTAAGTTGTGGAACCCATTGCCACAGGATGTTGCGGAGGCCAGAAGTTATAAATGGCTCGAGAAAAGGATCAAAAAAATTCAAGCAGGATAGATCCATGGGTGGCTATTAAAACACACTGGTCTGGAGGCAGCCTCTGCTTTGGGAAGTCCATAAACCACAGATTGCCTGGAGCAAGAAGGGTACCAGGCAAGGATCATGCCATGCCTCCTCTTTGAATTTCCTCCTTCCACATCTCTTTCTGGCTATGGCAAGGAATAGAGCACTGCTTCACACAATTGTTAGGTGTGACACCAGTCAGGTCCTACCTCCTCTGGTTCTGTTTGGGGCATGGTCTCCACTTACCTCCCCTAGATTTCAAAGGAAAAAAGGGGGAGAAGAAAAAACAAAAAAAAGGGGAAGAAACAACCCCAGCCCTCCACATACTGCTACTAGGCAGTCTGGTAGTTGTTTTATTTTCTTTAGAATGGACCTTGTGTTGCAAGTGGCAGGAAGCCATGAACCACAAAAATAAAATAATTCTAACCCTAGTGCTAAGTAAGGAAAACAAAGATGGCTCAGCAATTAGCAGCATTATATATGTTGGTACTAAGTAACAACAGATGTCAGGACTTGAGCCCTTTTGCATTCCTTGCAATCCTTTGGAAACCAAAGCCTTTTGACATTGCTATACATTATTACAGTTATTTTGGGTCTCAGAGAGCAGCAAAAGCTCTTTGAATGTTGAAATACGTATGTCACTAGGACTGGCTGGGTCTTACCTGTGTCTATCTCACCATCCTGCATACTTCTGCTGACTTAACAGGCTAGTGTGTGCTGTAAAAGCCTGCTCTGTAAAGACATGCGCTGGCCATGAGTCATTAGCAAGCATGCGAAGCTAATTGGCAAAATACTCATAAAAGATTTTGAAGGTGGGTTAATTACAATTCATTACACTGTAAACTGTCCCCAGGCTATTGTTAAAAAATGCAGGAGTTTCAAGGTCCAGTATTTTATGATTCATTTTGCCATGCAGTGAAAAACAGACTCTATATCAAACTACATTCATTATAGTTAAGACCACAAAATCTTTATTGGTTTTCCCAACATTCCCTCCTTGTTATATGAATTCATATGGACTGCACATTTCTAACAATTGGCAAGAAAGCATGAAATAAGATTTATGATATTTTTTTTTAACCTTATACTCAGTGCAGCCTTAAAAACTGCCCATTCCAATTGCTTCACCTCCTCCCACCTTGATTCACTTGGGCTGATAGGATAAGAGCTGGAAAATAAACAGAGGTGAATGAGAACAACTTCCCCACGCTGAAGGTTTGGTTGTGTGATGAACCAGGTTGCTGCGTGTCTGCACAGGAAATTCAGCTCTGCCAGAATACTGATAACAAAATCGTAATAAATAAGAATCACCCCTTGTAGCACTGTAAGTAACAGTTTCAAATTCAGTTGACACATTTATACCAGATACTTCTATAACCAGATGGATATAGAAGGATGAGACGGCTTTCATAGCTGAGCACAGAACATACCAGAGACCTGGGTTTCATTCTTGCCTCTGCTTAGACAAAACTTGCTGGCTTGTCTATCAGCTACATGAACCATACAACCCCAAGTGCTTTGCAGGATGAGGACCTTGGTACACTTAAAACCAAGTTCTCAAGCTTATAACAGAACTAACTGTGCCTTTGACTGTCTTCGCTTATGCCTGCGATGTCAGATACTGATATTTTTCTCATGAAAGGTCTGTGAGAAGGAGGCATTGCTATTGAGTAGCTTGGCATAATTCTCAATAATGTTGTGTAGAGGAAAAGTTAACAGAGACTCAGCTGCAACCTTTGAGGGAGCCAAGCCAAGTGCTGTGCATCAGTGCCACCTTTGTACCCTTCTCCATGGGTGCTCCTTAGCTCCTGGTGCTGGCTGGCACTTGGGCTCTTCTTTCAGCATTAAATGGTGCCATTCAGCTGGACTTTGCATTACCCCAATATGCTGAGCTAGATTCAGTTTTGCACAGACACCACACTTTCTCCTGTGTTGGCCCTGCCTGCATCTGACTGCAGTGTGTCTTATTCAGTGCATTCTCTTTGTGATGCTGTAAAGCTATAATGTGAAGGAAAATACAGCAATAACAGCAAAGTGGCACAATCTTAGGCTGAAGCCAATAAGAGTAAGCCCAAAAGCAGCAGCCACAGACACAGAAACAAAGGAAGAAAAACTGCTTACCTTTGAAGGACATCCAGTAGGCAGGGATCTCCAGCAAGACCCCCATACCCTCCACTGCCAACCCTTAAATGAGGTCTGGGAAGGGGTGGATCCAGCTCCACTCCTTCCAGGCACTCAGGAACATTGCATGCACCTGAGCTCCTCTGGATTGGCCCTGCCTTCCTACCAGGTGCTCAATCATTGGTTCAGACCATGAGTTAACATTTTCCCTGCACTCCACTGCTTCATGGTGTGAAGTGATGATTGAGCAGATTGAAGGTAAGGAATGCTTTGTACAATTTGCCCATCACAATGTAGATGGACAAGATATAAGACAATTAATGACTGGTTCTTGGTTGAGATTCACGTTCCTTTGTGGGGCAGTTCTTGATGGTTCTCCTGGGGGCACATAGTTGCTTGGACCAGGGAAGGTTCAGCTTGCATTCCATCAGTGTCATATAGTCCACAAGGTGTCATGCTGATCTTACAGTGACACTGGAGCATCTTGATATCATGTTTCCCCTTGTGGTGGTCCTGCGGACTCAAAAAGACTCAGAGGGAGTAGCATAGATGTTTTAGAGATACCAGAAAGGGTAGGTCAGCCCTTCACAACAAGATATAGGCTATGTTCTTATCCTAGGTCAACACTCTGGTTTGCACTGGGGTATATCCAACCACCTATATCACACTCTTTGGCCCAACATCTGAAGCTGCATAACTATATCAGGTATCAACGGGGAGGGGGAGCCAGATTTGCCATAGGGACTCAATTAAGGTTCCCTTCACAATGAAAAGGAGAGTGTTGACTACAGTATCTGCAGGCCATGTACTGAAGAGACTACCAAACTGCCAGCTTCCAGTGATCTCCCCCAAGGTACAGGTAGGCCAAATCATTTTTGTACTACTTGCACCTTCAAAGGTGCACCCTATTTTACAGGAACCAGGTTCTAGATTTTCAGGGTCAGGGAGCAGAAGGTTATTTTCACTGCAATTTGGGGTCTTACCTGATTATCAGTGCCCAAAATACGAATAAGAGCCATATTGCCTGTAGCATCTTCAGGGCACTAGGTCTGCCATCCCTAGGCCTTTCATTCAGGTCCCCTAAGTACAGCAGTAATAGCAAAGTAGCACTATCCTAGGCTGCAGCAAATGAGAACAAGCCCAGATGCAGCAGCCACAGGCACAAAGGAGAAAAGACTGCTTACCTTTGAAGGACATCCAGTAGACAGGGATCTCCAGCAAGACCCCCATACCCTTACCCTCCACTGCCAACCCTTAAATGAGGTCTGGGAAGGGGTGGATCCAGCTCCACTCCTTCCAGGCACTCAGGAACATTGCATGCACCTGAGCTCCTCTGGATTGGCCCTGCCTTCCTACCAGGTGCTCAATCACTGGTTCAGGTAACATTTCTGCTGCTCTCTCTAAGACAATCATTGTTGGTGGTATTTCCAGCTCAGCTGAGCTAATTTGGAGTTTATATAGGTTCCAATAGGCTCTAAACATATCATTATTACTAACGCATAGTGTTGAGTTGACACGGTCTGCTCCATGTATGAATTCAACTCAGAGACCAGACTCATGTGGTTCTGGGATGCTGCAGAGCATCCACCTGTGGAATTCAGAGCTGGATTAAAGCCAGCTTTAAGCACAAGTAGTAAATGATGAAAGTAACTAAGGTCTACTTCTCTCCCCTAGAAAATCTGTTGATGATATGAATGGATTTTGCTTCAATTTGCTTCAGTTAATATGCTATTTCTGTAGTGTTTTGAGGTGATGTGTGAGTGGAATACTGAAGAAAATTCGTACTCAAAATAATTCAGCTGCTGTTCTTAGCTTTTTTCCTACTGAAAACTCTAAACCTTTCAAAGAAATGGAACATTTCTGGATGCAAAACATTTTAATCCATTGAAGAACGCCTTCTCCTTCACCAAAATACATCTATGGAAAAAAAACCTTCACCAAGCCTACCAGCTAGATATTAAGCAAGTAGGAGTATCAGTTAATTCTAGTAAAACTCAGCAATAGATTTACTGTAAAGAGCGTTGTTTTTGTTTGCATGAATTTAGTGTAAAATGATAAATATCTTGGGTTGGCTCTTTTGTCTCAAGCTTTCTCAGAGAAACTGGATTTTTCTTTATGTGATAGCATTAAAACTTCTATATGTGTTGGGACCAAGACACTGTTTAGCTCAGTTTCTAATAGAGTACTCAAGAAAGAGCAAAATTTAACCTGACCATTCATGATCTTGTACTGGCTGGCACACCAGCCTCCACAGCTACTCTGTAACCTTCTACACTGACCCTCCTGTACTCCAGGGACCAGAAGCTAACAGCAGGAATGAAGCCTGGGAGGTGGACTGTGCAATATGATACACAATGGGAGCTTTTTCCCACCAGGCAATCCACTGTGTAGGATGTGCCTTTTGCTTTCCCTCCTGAAATGCTCGCCCTACTGCATTGGCAGAGACCCTCAGCCATTGCACCAGGCACGGAGCAAAACCCAGAAGGAGTTTACAGCCCAATGGCCAAAGCTCAGCAGGGTTTTGACAGCTGGTGGGCATTTGGAGTGAAGGGTTTGGATATCAGATTTCAGTGACAGTGATATTTATGGACGCTCTGACTAATCTCTGTGCCTGGGACATAACAACTATATCCAAAAACATTGGCAAATACTTCTTTTGTTTTGTTTTGTTAAGAACTGTAACTACTCCCATCTCACCTGGAACTAGTACATGAGCAAAGTTCATCATGACATTTCAGCAACGTCAGTGCTGTTATTGGACAGCCCTACCAGTGAGCAAAATGGAAGCAAAGGAGGAAAAAATGAGTGATCAAAATTTTCCAAACTCTCACAAATACTTGTTTCGAGCAGTGGAGAGATTTTGCAAGTGGCAGGTGTCAGTAGTAAATACTGAATTCTCCACTTTCCCTTTGGTGTCATTATAAATAGGGTTATTTGTTTTTAAAATAGGCATTTTTCATCACTTCTTCTTAGGGTCATGCCTCTGTAAGGCTCACAGATGCTAAATTTGGACAATACCTTTTAACCATAACATGTGAAGCTCCAAAATTTCAGAGGCTCCATTAAAATCATGCAGAAAGTGGGATTTTTGCCATTGGTTTGATTGGCTCCAAGATTACATCCTTGCTGTTCTTTGGAAGTCATCTTCGATTTGGAAATAATCTTCAAAAATGTTGTGATACATTGCTCTCCAAGGAGATTCCTGCTACTTCATCGTTTTGACAAGGCTGTAAATAACAAAAAAGCTATACTCATCAAGTGCTCCTCCAGTCTCCACTGAAATCAGAATAGTCAGAAATGGGCAGCAAAATGTTAATTAAATTCCTTCAAATCTCAAAAGAAATGTTGAGTAGAGCTTCTCCGAGACTGCAGAAAACTGCCTGTGGAAAACTGTCAACATTTCTCTTTAACATATTGTGTCAAATTTTGGTGTCTATGAATCAGTTGGTGAAGTGGTAGGAAAAAAAAAACACAGAAAAGCACATTTTTATGGATGCTGGGAATATATATCTGTGATGTAAATATAAAATACATGCATCTTGCTATCTAAAATATATACACTACCTATATACAAAGCTTTTCATTTCCCAAGTCTGTATATAGAATTATTTATATATATATTTATATACAAGAACACAAAAACTTGCAGCCAGCACTAGTTTTGCACCAGCTACTTTGAAGGCAGATTTGTTTGTTCGTTTAAGAAAACTTGTTCTGATGAATGACCTCACCTAGCTATGGACTGGATGCCCTGTAAGAAATTTTGGATGGGTAGTATAATGAAATATCATTGTGTAGGGGTTTTCAGATTTGTTATGATCCACTGGAGTACAGTCTTCCAGCAGATGCTGAGTCCCACTGCCACTGATCATGTGCTAGAAAACAGGGAAAAGATGTGCAAGCATTTGGAGGGGAGCTTGGCCCCACTGCTGTCTGGAAAAAAAATCCCATTGACTCTGACAAACCAGGAATTCACCCACAGTCCTTGGAAGATTTTTACAGAAGTGCAATAACGTGCCGTGTAAATCCTATAATCAAAGCTTTCCCTATTGATTTTATTTACTTTTACATTGTGTATGATATGAAAATTGAGCTCTTTAAATTCCTCTGCTTATCTCAGGCCCCATGGAAGGACTATTTCATCTGCTTTTATTAAAGCTCATGGGTGCTCCTACGTCAAGGTTGGTGAAAGTACCTTGCTGAAAGCTTCTCATGAGGATTTTCTCCTACAGTAATTCAAAGGGATAAGACATCTTACAACTGGCTTTTATAACCTTGCAAAAAAAAAAGTCTGGCTCAAAAGCTGCTTTTTCTCTAGCAGAGAGCTGAGCTGCTAAGAGATCTGTAGCATTCCCCCTCAATGAGCCAAATCCTGCAGCTCAAAGCAGGGAAAAGAGTCGTAAATCCTTGCAGACAAGAGGCACCACTAACTGAGAGCTGAGCCATTGCTTCTGGAGTCAAGCAACTCACTGGAAAAGTTGGCATTATCACCAGCTGTCATGAAGGCAACATGGAGCCCTACAATGAATTCAGATTCAGGTCCCTTGTATGACCTTGGACAAGGTGTGTGCAATCCTTTCCTTTGCTTCCCCATCTAGAAGATGGTGCTAGTAACACATGATTTGCTCATCATGTTTATTTAAGTTATAAACACCTCCAGGCAGAGGCAATCCCTTTCAACGTGTCTATACAGTGTCTAATAGAAGGTCCTTGTCTCAGCTCAAAATCTAGATACTACATGGAAGCAAGGAATAGTACCTGGCAGAGCGCAGATTTCAAACTAGAAATCTAACATCACTTAGTTCTCATTCTTTCTTGCTTTTGGCACATAGCTCTTTTCAGGATGACAAATCTCGAGGTCCCTCTGTTGCTGACTCCCATTAAAGTTTAAATTACACTCATTGGCAGTCCTAGAAGTGTCCAAGGATTTCCCCTTTAGATTTTTAAAAGGCTATACAGTAAAAAAGATAGAGTGGACTATAGCTGGTCCTGGAGTTGCAGCTGTAACCAGAAGCTTTATGATGAAATTCAGGTAGAAGAACAGGAGGAGGAAAAAAAATGAAAGGAAACGAGGGAATGCCATCAAAGTCTTTGAAAGACAAATTCATTTTACCTTTGTCAATGACTGTGGTTTTCAAGGATAAAGATCAAAGCAATGACCGTGGGCAGAGCTATGACAAATGCCGAGATCAGTCTGTTAAACCCTAGCATTAGCGTTACAGTTAGACTGGTGTCTAGACTAGCAGTGGGTACTCATGCCAGGTTTGGCAAGCACAGCAGTGCAGTGCTTGCATCAGAGCTGTAACAAGAAAAATGAGGCATCCAAATTGCAGAGGGGAGGGAGCGATTGGACTCTAGCAGAGTGGAACTTGAAGAAAGGAAGTATGGAAAAAAGAACAACAAAAATAACAACAGCAAAACAAAACAAAATAAAGCAATCCACAGCCATATTATTGCCTGAGCCCAGGGAAAGACAGCTGAGAAGATGTATCCCCCACGCTGGTTTATGCTTTGTGATTAATGTACACAAAAAGCTTAGATAACTGGGGGAAAGTAATGCCAAATTCTTATCAATACAGATGAGCCGGCTTCATATTCCTCCATCTCTTTCATGTGGAAATGAGACTGCATTTGATGAGGCCAAGCCCACATTTGAAATAGCTCAGCTGGGATGTGTGTGTGGTGAGGGTTCAGGTGCCTGCATGGAAAATTGATATGGCTGGATGGTCTCAGATTCTCTGGTCTTCTTCTTTGTAAAGAAGGCAGAGAGCTCTTGTTTGTGGGATGAAGACATGCTGAGGTCTGAGAGATGGACTGGACAAGGAAACGTGTTGTTGACTGATGAGGGGCCAGGGCCCCTCATAAGGTGTTTCTATGTTCCTCCAGACAATTCTTGCATGGACCTTTCATGGGCCCTTAAATATAACTCACTGCCATGTCCCAGCTTAGCATGGTGGGGCCAAGCTTGCTCTCACACTGCTCAGTGTGGGGCTGCAGGCTCAGCCAGAGGAGAGGAGCAATGCATTGCTCTGCCTGCAGCCTATGCCTGGCCGTGCCTGGGGATTTCCTGGCCCGAGAGTGCCACACAGGGTTGGTAGAGGGATAAACACCAGAAAAATCCACTTGCTGCTGCCTTGGAGCTTCCACCTGCATGGCAAAGCTTGCACGCAGCCCCCATCACTGGAGGATCTGAAAACTCTGCAGATACTTCCAAACATCTACTTATCATCATAGTTACATTGGCTTCCACCAGTCATAGAGTTCAAAAGAAACTGCAGACTAACGTGGGCAAATGCAATCTTCAGTGGGTGGAGACAGACAGGAGGGAATATTTTCTGAAACCCAGCTGGTTTCAGCTGAGCTCATACTGGGTCTTACACCTTCCGTCCATCCGTTGTCTGAAGCACAGTGTAGTACTTGCTAGAAACAATTAGCTAAGATTTAGACTGGTCTTAGCTAATTGTGCTATTCTCAGCTCTGCTACTGACTCACCTGCACGGCCTCAGGCGAGTTGCTTGCATATTTGTGCCTTAGTTTACCCACTGGTAATAGCAGAGATAGTAACAATCTCACAGAGCAGTGCAAGGATTCATTAACTAATATTGGGAAAGCAGTTTGTGTCTTGACGCCTTTGTGCCTTTGTTTACCCATCAGTAATGTCAGAGATAAAACTCTCATGGAGAGGTACAAGGATTAATTAATTATTTGAAAAGTAGTTTGAGATCCCTGGATTAAAGATCCTAAGTGAGTAAAACATATCATTAAAAACATCTCCCAGTCCTCTGTGAAGTTAAAATAAAGCTGGAACTTCTTAGTCATTCAAATAATTAAACCATAAATATTGTTTATTTTAATCTCGCCTTTAACAGAATCTAATCTAATCTAGGCAGTGATACCAGCCAAAGAATGGAAAATGTTTCAAATTCAGACCTATCAATTTGAAGAGCTTGATTCTTAATTGCTTTTTGATTTCTATCAATGGAAAGTGAGAGCAATTGTATTTACGAATGCCTGCGAAAGCAAAGGGCAGCTGGGAGGACGCCCGCAGTATTTCTTTAGGGTTTCAGCCTTACATATGCACATGGGTACAGCAGCTGTCTACAATGCTTACAGTTCCTAATGCTATCCAAGCAGAGGACAAATGTTAAATCCTCTCAGTCACTTCCATGGGGAACTGTTGTATCCAGGGGGATAAAATGTATGCAATTGGCTCTCTTTTAGTCTCTTTCTCCCTCTCTTATTTTTGCACATCTTTTCCTTTTACAAACTACATATGGAAAGAAGTTGTTTGCAGAATCGAGGTCATGATTTTTAATTGAACAAACCTTCTTTTAAGTGTAGCTACTGCTGGGAACTTGCTAGCACAGCAACCTGCTGTACTGAGCACCCAAACCTCCATACCGCATGAGTTTTCCTTTGGCTCAGAGAGACTCGTCTCAGCCTTTTTATGGCTTTCCACTTCTCTCTGCTTGCAGAAAATTTTGCAGCAATCTCTGCTGTGTGGGAATATAGGGAGGAAGAAAGGATGTTATTGCTTTCCTGAACTACAGTGCTTTCATTAGTTAAATATCTTGCTGTCTTTTTCACGGTAGTTCACCTTCTACTGAATTTTCATCAGTCTGAAAGAGGCCTTTAGGGCCATTTGAAAGTAACCACCAGATAAAAGCGATTGTCATCCTCCCTATGCAGCAGGCAAGGAAGCAGACACAGGTAGACTGGTCACACAGGAAGGTGAGGAGGGACCCGATGACTCAGAGCTTTTGACTCGCAGCTGTCAGCTTTAGACGCCATTTCAGCCAACTATAAAAGCACATGGTTATCTCTGACCTCATGAATAATCCCACTGATTTAAGCCATAAACTTAAGCATTAGGGCCTTAACCACCTCACTGTGCTTGCCAAGAGTTGAGTGCAGGTCTGGATAGGCCCAAGTAATTGACGTAGAGGAACAGTAACAAATAGTAGATTCTCTGGTGCAGGTTTCCTGGTAGCTTTTCTGTCAAAGAAGGCCACTATGGATATGGATGTGAATATGGATAAACAAGTGGTCTGGTCACTAAGATGAGGGCCCTTAGGGGATTGAAGTAGGTCCTGCAGAGATCGCCCTGCCTTAAGGGAAGCTGCTTAGGTGAATGCTGTGCTGTTGACTTTGATGGCACTTCCCCAGTGAGAGATGCCCTAATCATAGAATCATAGCATCACAGAATATCCTGAGTTGGAAGGGACCCAACTGCCAGCTCCTCCCAAACTCATTGTCTGAGAGTAGTGTCCAGATGCTCCCTGAGTTCTGGCACTGGGTCTGTGCCCACTGCCCTGGGCAGCCTGTTCTGTGCCCACCACCCTCTGGAGCAGACCTTGTCCCTAACCTCAAGCTGTCCCTCTCCTGGCACAGCTCCATGCCGTTCCCTCAGGCCCTATCGCTGTCACAGAGAGCAGAGCTCAGCGCTGCCCTTTGATCCCTGTGAGGAGCTGCAGCCGCCATGAGGCCTCCCCTCAGCTCCTCTGCTCTGGGCTAAGCAAACCCAGGGGCCTCAGCATTCCTCGTATACCTTGTCCTACTTCCCTCCTTCCATCTTTGCATCCCTCCTTTGGATGCTAATAACTTTACATCCTTTATGTGCTGTGGCACCCAGAATGCATCCAATACTGGAAGTGAGGCTGTGCAGAGAGGGGACAACCCCTCCCCTCACCTGGTGAGCAGTATTGAGCCTGGTGACCCCCAGGATGGCTCTCCTGGTGCCAGGGCACACTGCTAGCTCCCATACAACTTACTGTCAGTCAGAGCCCCCATCCCCATCCCTTTCAGTGGGGCTGCTGTCCAGCATCTCACTCCCAGCCTGCATGTACAGCCCCCAGCACAGAATCTAGCACTGCTCTTGTGATGATGTAATAATCCCTGTCCTCAGATTTTTCTGGAGAAGAACCAGGGTCTCCTAGGAAGGGAAAGTGGAATCTGTAGATCCAGTGATAACAACTGTCCTTTCCTGGCAGAGATTTACTGTGTGCTTGATCCCTTTTCTCTGCAGAATAAGGAAATGACCTGGATGTGCAGTCTCACCCACAAGTAGAGGCATTCCTCAAAACTCTGCAGCCTAGTTCAGGGTACTGTTTACTGTTCTACAACTGCTTTTGACCTTGCATTTGTAGCAAAGGGCTAAGAGATCAAGGGAAGCCAAATGGAATCTACTTTCCTGTTGTTGGTGGGAGAGTGAGTGAAGCAATTTAAACTGTACATGATGTTGCCTACCAGATGGTCAAAGCCCCTCTTCCCTCTATTAAGCAAAGTAACAGTTTCACAAAGAAAAATTAGAGATACCAGAGCATTTTGGAAACATTTCCCATATCTGACTGAAAGGTGTACTTTGTTTTTAGTTGATGACATGGGATTTCAGCTAGATGCCTGTTGTTCCAACCTTTTCCAGAGGTGAAAGGTGTCAACTCTTTATAGGATGGAGCAGAAAGATTTGTGAAGCCACCTGGAATTGGAGCAGTAATTTATAACTGCAGTGTTTGAATTTTGCAGACTGGGATAGAAAGTGGTGATTTAAAAATGCAAGTTTAATAAACCTAGACAAAGCCCATTTTGCCACCTTCTGCTTCTCACTTATGAGAAGATCTCAGGTTAGTCCTTAATAGCTGCAGACACTGACACATTATCTCACAGTTAGAGTAATGGTGGGAGTGCAAGAGCTAGATGAACTAAACCCCATTGCCTAATATGTCTAAATATTCTTCCTGCTCTGCATCCATCTGCTTTCTTATGACATAATGGCATGCTGACATGAAAACTGAAGAGGCGAACAGAAACTACTCCATAGGGTTTAACTATGACAGTTCAGATATTGTTGTGATGCTTCCTCCAGAAGCCTGAAGCTCAGTGTGTGCTGAAGCAGCAATGGACCAGACTTCTGGGGCTGAGGCATGGCAGGGAGCCTCTGCTCTCAGCCCTGGTGAGGCCGCAACTCGAGTGCTGTGTTCAGTTTTGGTCCCCTCACTACAAGGAAGATGCTGAGGCCCTGGAGAGTGTTCAGAGAAGGGCAGTGAAGCTGTGAAGGGTCTGGAGCACAGGTCTTATGGGAAGTGGCTGAGGGAGCTGGAATGGTTCAGTCTGCAGAAGAGGAGGCTCAGGAGTGACCTTATCGCTCTACAGCTGCCTGAAAGGAGGTTGTGGTCAGGTGGGAGTTGGATTCTTCTCCTAGGTAACAGTGATAGCATGAGAGGGAATGGCCTCAAGTTGTGCCAGGGGAGGTTCAGGTAGGACATTAAGGAGTAATTCTTCTCCAAGAGAGTGGTCAGGTGCTGGAATGGCTGCCCAAGGAGGTGGTGGAGTCACCATCTCTGGAGGTGTTCAAGGAATGTTTAGATGTTGTACTGAGGGACATGGTTTAGTGAGAAATATCGGTGATAGGTGGATGGCCGAACTGGATGACCTTAGAGGTTTTTTCCAACCTTGGTGATTCTGTGATTCTCTTATCCCACACCAGCTGTCTGGAAGCTCTCTCAGACTTGAGCTTGCAGCATAGACATACACATTTTAAGGATGGGTATGAGAGTATTTTCTCTGCTAAACGGCTGCATTGCCGTTTAGCAGAGAATTATTTCACTCAATAATCCCAGTCCATGAATGGAGTTCCTCAGCATAACATTACAATAGCATATAGCATAACAATAGAAAACATAACAATAGCATAACAAGAGAAAAACTCTTATGTAAGCCTTGCTAGATTGGTCTGATTTGCAGTGATTGGGTAAGCATGCCAATGGGCGGGATGCACGGACTTCATTTTGCTGATAATGGCATGGATCCGCACATCAAAACAAGCCACTCCTCACTTTGGTTTGTGCATTATATGATCCTCTAAAGGCTTCTAAAAGTATATCACTTTGATCTCATTCCCATGTATCATTTCTGTCTACCCTGATCTTGGGTTCAGTTTTCACTGGAGTAGTGCAAGATATAAAAATATCAGCCTTTCTTTATAAGCCTCCATTTTTGATAATTGAAATCCAACTCATTAAATCCCAGGAACAGTGACCTTTGTTCTCACTTAGATCTGTGGGTTATCAGCTCTTTGGCTGATTTTCTGAAACAATTTACTCTGTAGTAAGAGGTCCTTAAGAATCAGCCACTGATACATCTAGACCAGTCTCCTTTCACTTGGCTACAGAATCCCCTCACGCAGATGCTGGAGTTCACAGTCTCAATTTAATTCTCCCCTCTTTCATTTTTCTCTAGGAAAGCAAGGGGAAATAAAACTAAGAAAGAATGGAAGGGATAAAGGACTTGACAATCTGACTCTTACTCTGTGCCCTGCCTTCAGACTACTGCCTGACCTTAGGCAAACTGCATCACAGGTTCCCTCAGATATAGTAAAATACAGCATTCTTTCCATACAAACATACAGGTGGAAAGTGTTACTAGGCATTTATCATATTGTTTTTGAAGATATATATTCCAAAAAAACAAAGTATGAGAAAATAAAGGGTTACATAACAAAGAGTAGAAAAACACCAACAAATATTGTCTCAAACCCTCCCTTTCAAACAACACACAAAAAGCAATGGAGACTACAATGGACAAATCCTCCTCTGACAGCAGGCCAATCAGACAGAGAGCTGTTCTCTGAATCCCAGCCTATTTCATGCCATGCAAAATCACTGCGGGAAAAGACTGACAAGCTTCAGACAGCTCATAGCGCTGTACCTTTGCTCATGGCAGCAGTGCCAGCCAATTGCTAGCGTCTTGGTGTCTGGCCAAAGCAGATGGCAGACAACTGTCTGAAGCTGGGACCTGGGAAAATGGGGATAACATCAGGAAAAAAACAAAAACATCTTACATACCTACTACTCCCACCTCATCCCTCTCTGGGGATATGCCTGCTCACTGTGGACTGAGTCAGTGGCTGGTGTTGTGGTCCTTTGGTGCTCTGTATAGTTACTGCATACTTGCAGACCTGGGGCAGTTAGCACATCTCCTACCTCCCATGCACAAGGACTTTCCAGCCAGTGCCACAGACCAGCGCCTCCCTGGTGGGTCAGAGTTGAGATGAAGCAACAGTACCCACTCGGGAAAGTTTGCTGGACCTGAAAATCTTCCTGAACTTTTTTTGGTCTTAGGTTACCATGACATATCTGCCTGGATCTGGGTTTTGATTCTCCATTCCATATCTGTATCCCAGGCTGGCTGGGTAGCACCTTTCCCTCAGAAAAGACCTCAACTGAATTGCTCCGCTCCCAGTAAGAGTGGGCAGTGGTTGTGTTTCAAGGCTGAGAAGATGGAAAGGATGGAAGATGGAAGATGGAAAGGATGTTTGAGGTCACTGGCTGCAAAGGGGAGCTGCAGGGCTGGTGATGATGATCAGGAATCATATTATTTCTTCCCTCCCAGTTTCTATCTCCATGCAGATATTTGCAGCTCTCCCCACCCAGCTGTGCCATTTCTCTACCTCGACCTTCCCAGCACTCCCCAGGCAGGTCCTGGCCCTTCACTGTGGTGTGGCAAAATTCAGTCTTGCCTACGCAGCTGAGAAACTTTGGCTCTTCATAATAATACCAGCTTGCCTGCAGGGAATAAGGTGGAAGCTGGACCATGTCAAGGCCCTTTATATCCTGCAAAGGTATGTTTGCAAGACACTGCTGGAGAGCACTATGTAGACGAGTGACAGTAGGAGAGGTAGGACCAGCTCCCCAACACAGGGAAAATGGGATAGATCAAATAGTTAACCAGATTTCCATCAGCTGTAGGGTTGGCCTGGTGACAGGCAGGATTGCCGTGTTGCACAGGTAGCTCACCTCTCTGCCAGATGTAATAAACATGTCCACTTGATGCCAACAGAACTGGGCTAAATCTTCACGTTTTCTTCCCTTCCCACTTCAGTGGTGCGAACAGCCGTGTGTCTGCAAAATAAGCACATGAAGAGGGGATGAAATTGCTGAGTGGGAATCCAGTTTGAATTCGTGCTGAGAGCTTTCCAAAGGAGAAAATGTCAATCTCAAAAGGTTTTTCAGGATTCAGACCTTTGTTTTCACCTTTCACTATGTTCAAACACAGTTAGGTCTGAGAAAAATAATAGAAAGAAAAACCTAGTCTTTAAAAGTCAATGTTGCCGTGGGTATAAAATTCATGGAGCACGTCAGACAAAAAAGTTAGTTTGAAACCACAACTTGAATAGAAATCTACAGCCCAAAAGTGAAGATTGTGGGGTTTCTTTCCCTCTTACTGTGCTAACAAATTCTGTCCAGAAAATTAGAAAGTGAAATACTCTTAAAAGTAGTAATTATCCACCCCCAAATTAAAGCTAAACTGAGGAACTTCTAAGTTCCTCAGCTGTGCAAGTTTTGTTATGGTGTAGAGATTTTTACTACTCTGAGCTTTGGATGTTTTCATTACTAGCAGGCCACAAATGAATTAGGTGGATGATGAAAAAATGACTGTCAATAAAATTTTTACACCGATGCTTCATTCTGTGTGAAACATCTTTTATATTTATGCATATATGTATATACCATAAATAATAGAAATAATTTTATACTAGGGATGTAAACACTGGTCCCAAATGCAGTGGCAAATGAACCACTCATATTTTCTGATTGCATAATTTGCCTAAAGGATGGATACATAATTACACTATAATTAAGTATAATAAACAGAGAAAACGATTTGAGAAGGAAAAATTATCACAGCCTCAACCACATCAGCCAGAAGCTCTCTTCTAATTAAGTTATTTTATTAAACAAAATGTTTTTAAGGTGGGTCCCCTTTGAAAATGTACATTATAGCCCGTGTAATGTAATTTACTTTATAAGTAAAACATGGCTTGTGTATGGACAGATGGTATCTGATAGGACTCATGAAATATGCAGCCACAAGGTCCAGTCCAGCCAGGTGCTGAGTACCCCCACGCCCCTGTCTCGATCCAAGGAACAGACCCTAAGCACAGCTCTGGGAAATCTCAGCAGCTCACAGAGCAGCCTTTCATCTGCACTCACTGATGGCCTCTTTTTATGTTGTTTGTATTTTTTTTCTAATTTAAAGGAAGAGATGCATGTAGGTAACTCTGATGTTGTCATCACGTAATGACCTGGTAGAGGAAAGGAGGCCAAAAAAAAAAAAAGCTGCCTTAAGTAGCTCAAGCTATTTGAATTCAAGAGAGTCTCTAAATGCTATTGCTTCTCAAAAGACTTCTACTAGTACTAGTTCTGCTCAATGCACAGCAAGATGTGAAGATGGAGTCTTTTATGTTACTGTGGCTGAAGAAATCCAAAACACAAACTGATTCAGTAACTCAGGAAGACCACATAATCTGTTACTTCATGTGGCAAAGGCTATTGACCACCCTTCAGTTGATTCCTCTTTGAACTACAACTTACATTTTTAAACATCTGCCCCCATCTGTTTGGGGACTACGGGACCCATTAAAAAAGCCTTGAAGCATCGTTCTGAAGTTAGCTATTACTCCTGCTTGCCAGCCCTCCACCCACAAAAAAGTAACAAATGTTCAGTTTAAGTTTTAGCTGTAGGATTTCTGCATATATCTGCTTCATTTCCGCATTCCTCTTCCTCTTATGAGCCCTTAGAAATTGTGATGAAGCCATCCCTTAGCCTCTCCTCTGTAAGCTCACTAGATCAAGGCATGTGATATAAATTTCTGCTGCTATCCTAGCTCTTTAAGGCTCATACAACCTTGCAGTGATTTTTGGGAGGATCTCACTGCATCTGTAACCTGTTACTCTCTTCTTCAGTTCCCAACTCATCCATAAGGTTTATTTAGAATGATTTAGGTGTTCTTCCAGGTCTGCAAGGAATAGCAAAACCACAGTAACACATCCCTTTGGGATCTGCTAGTGATGAGATCTAAGAATGGACTTACACTCAGTATGTAAGAAAACATTCCTCATCAAGGAAGACCCAAGGAAAGGAGAAAATGTGTCCTAAAAATCAGTTTTTCACAACATAATGTTGGACATTACAATGTGAGAACATCTCTAAATCCCTAAACTAGTGTTTCTCTAGTTGTGCCCACTTCATACACAGCTTATTAGACAAGGGAGAAAGCAGTGTGGCATTCAGGAGTAGTCTTCTCATGTTTAGAGTTTTCCACTCGTAAATGTTTGCAGACCTTTGAACCACAAAATGTTGTAGGTTATTGATGAGATTACTGATGTGTGGTTACCACTTGCAGGGTGCCTTGGGCAGGACACTTAGGTCATCATGGATCTGTACAGTCCTGATGACTACTAGTTTCTCTCCTAATCCCATGTGCTTTTTGTTGTGTAGTGACCTGATTTAAACTAGGAGCTTCCATGAGAAATAATCATATGGCATTCACAGATGTAAAGTCAAGCCAAAGAGTCATTTTCAATTGCTTAGCAAATGCTAGACCACAGAAACTCAGTGTGTCGTAAGATTCCACTTGGTCCCATCATCATGGGTGGGAAAAAGGAGGCGGATTATCCGTAGACCTCAAAGTGTTTTATGAAGAGAGGCAAATGCTGCTATTCCCATTTATTGGATAGGGCAACAGCAAGTTGAGACTTGCATAAAGTCACCCAATTAATCAGCCAGAAAACTGCCACTGAAAACCATACTCTGGTCTAAACAAGTTCTCACACTGCCCTCATCATGGTAATATCTGAGTACCCTCCAGTAGTATGTTAGAAGAATTTGGGCATGTCTACACTTGCCGATGGAAACAGCTGCATGTCAATCCAGTCCCCTTCTCCGCCAACTGGACAAAAGCCATCTCCAGGCTGAGGCTGTACAGCCATCTTAACACCACCTGGAGCCCAGGCACATGAATGCCTGCAAGTTCTCTAGGGAAAGCTCACAGCCATCACCACCCTAACGCAGCACTGTGGCTTCTGGGCTGCACCTTGCTTATGGCTGGATGGGCATGGACAAGGCAGATGTGAGACTGTCTCTGAGAGCAGATTGACTTTCCTTCATTCTGAATCCAGTTCCATCATTTGTAGTGCTTCTTAGAAGATCTCCTAACGCTTTAGTTCTCAGAGCCACAAAGACAGGGCACAGATGTGTTAGTTATCTGGTTATAGCCTTTTGGCTCTGAGGAAAGATCTAGAAGAAGACAATTTGAACAGGGAAATTTGGATGCACTGTCATAAAGGATGAAAATCTGCAAAATATATTTAGTAAGTCATTAAAAAGGAAAGAGGAGAAAAACATCTCTTTAAACTCAGGATCTACTTGTCATGAGCAAGAGTACAAAAAAAAATTGTAACTTAATGACCTGAAGGAAAAGTAGCTGTTATTACAGGGCATTGTGCTGGCAAAGTTCCTATACATCACAGCAATAATTCTCTCCAGACTTCCCTTCCAAGGCATGAGGAAACACCAGTGTGTTTAGCCTCAACTCCCTGGCAAGCAGCATCACTTCCTTGTGAGAGGCGGGGAGCTGACACAGCGATGGGAAGGCTCTCCTTTGTACCAGCAGCAAAAGCCCTGTGTGACCCAGAGGGTCTGATGTAGAACTGCTGAGTCCTGCTCCAAGGAAGCTAAAATTCCCAAGGTGCCCTGAGAGCTTATCCTGGACAACTCATGCTCCCAGGTTTACAAATCCTTTGAGGGTTGCTAACTTCATACAAACCACTCATTGCTCTGGAAGTCCCACACCTTGGTGTGGCTGGAGGCTGGAAAGGCGCAGCATGGATGTATCCAGCTCTGCTCACTCTGCTTTTGCTTTCCTTCCTGGGCACCCACTTCCATCAGCTGCCAAGGACGGGCCAACAGATGAGGTGGGCTTCGATCTGGAGTGGCACAGCTCCTGTGAAGCTCTTGCTTGCTTCTGTATCTGAATATCTGAATGCCCTGAATGGTGAACGTGTGCTTCATGCATATGCAGAAAGGGCATGGAAGCTGTTTGAAAAAAATGGACCTGGTTAACTTGGCTACGATCATCCAGGAAGTTTGTGGCAGAGCTGCAAATAAAATCCAGACATTTTGCCTTTTGGGCCTGTGTCTTCACAACAACGGTATTCTTCCTCTGCTCATCTGTGCTTGTTGTCTTATCAGGACATGCTGCTCAGTGTGTTTCCTTAAAGGGAAAGAGCACTGAGAAAGTCATGCTTTAATTCTTTAGAGAAAATCACAACAGCTCCATAGGAAAACCCAATAGCTTTCTGCAAGTATTACAATGCTTCTGTATTTTTCTTTCCCTTTGTGATCTTTACTACTTCCTCGCCATATGTAAAAGGTCTGATCCTGTTGAAAATAGTCATAAGTGCCACTCAGACAATATTGATTTATCTCTGAAAAGGATGTGGCACAGTACTTTTGGCTGGATTTTTCTTCAAGCAGCCAGTCACTTCTCTCTCTCCGCTATACAGAAAATTGTGAGAAGTCCAGTGACAACAACCTTGCTGGAATTCACCTGGCCCACCCAGGAAATAGCTATTTCTAGACATAGAAAACACAGCATGGAAAACAAGACACGGAAAACCCAAGCCTTGTCTCTTTAATCTAAGATCTCTTGCATGTTACTAAGCCTAATGTTTAATTTGAAAAAAAACAACCTGAAAATAGCATTAAAGGAAGCAGAGGATTTAAACATCACTATATTATTAAGACAGCCTTTCTGGAAAACACTATATTTAAAAAATGACCCTTTTACCATGAGGTTTCTAAAACTATAGAGCTGTCCCCAGCTTCCTGTGAGATAAGGCTTGTAATTTGGAACAGAGTAATGGAGTACAAACAACACAATTTGTATTGTGCTCTGCATTAAGAGGCAATGTGGAACCAACTGGTAGTGTCGTATTTCTCCTACTCCAGAGCAGCTTGGGGCTGTTTGTGCCGGAGAGTTAAATGTTAGACCAACATGATGTTGAAAGTAGCTCATCTTCCACGCTTGACAGAAGTGTGGTGTCAGGATGCAAATCTC